ATTGCTAGACCAGGTAGGGAAGGCAGAATCCACTTGGAGAAGACGCTCCCTGTCCCAGTGCCCTGGAGGAGAGGTCTGTCCACCAGCTGCCTGGAGAAGCAAAGGATGGGGCCACCCTGACCTCAATGGGCATGCTGTTCTGGAGTGAGGGGGCAAACCCTCCAAATGCTGGTCTCTGGCTGCCAGCCTTCTGATCTCTTGCAAGGTGGGCATCCAAAACATCCTCTCCAGCTAGACCAGGTGGGATGGTGGAGACACCTGGAGGAGATAGCCCCAAAGTAACCAGGGACCAAGCCACAAAGAGCTTTATAGCTAAACATCTGCACCTGTCAAATGACTGTGATTCTGTTGAACTGGCTCCCTTCTGAACCACTTATGGCTCCCTCCTTGTCTTCCAGGGCAGTCCCCCATGATGAGAATTACAGTAGTCCAAGAGCTGAGAAGAGCATGAGTCACGTCTTCAGCACCTCCTGATCCCAGAGAGGGCCCAGTTGGCAGTTTGGCCAGAGAGTTGGAGGCTCGGCTGCCAAGACTTCACCTGCTGTGCCAGCAACCCAGGAGGACACCAAGATTGCCCACCAGCTCCTCGGAGGAAGGTAGTAAAGTCCTTGGCTCCAGGGGCAACTGCAGGGCTGGGTGATCTAAAAGGTCAAGATGGCAGCCATGGCCGTGCGATCAAAGCCCCCTTTCTAATGTGCCCCTTGTCTCAGCGATAAAGAAAAGGAACTTTGCATCTACTCAGTCATCCTTTCTTAGCTCTTCCGAGTTCCAAAGTCCTATAGGGGGTGGAGTTTTCCCATTTACTGCTCTTTTCCTTGCAGTTGCCACTTTTTTTTAACTGAATTGTTATTTTATTATATTTAAAAGCCGGCCAAATCCATGAGAGCTCTACATGATTTAGAAGAAAGCATCCACACAATACAATAATACAAAACAAACATCCAGAGGAAACCACCACCATCTTCCCTTCTGTTGTCCACCCTTTATTCATATCCAGGGATGTCCACAGGGTGTGGTCAAAAAGGTCAAGATGGAGCCACAACGGTGTGATCAAAGTTCCGCCTGGTTTTTATGTGCAGCTCTTCAATTGCAGCCCCATTCTGACTTTCTTGACACCCCGAGGACCCCCTGATCATCTCCTCGGCCACACACAAATACTGCTGGACATTTTGGTCTTGCCCTTGCCTCACAGCCTGGGTTGCCAGCCAGATTTGACCAGCAAGAGATGAGTGTTCGTCTCCCAAATTCTATTTGAAGATGGTGACATTTGGCCTGAAAAGGAGCAGCAGGTGCAAAGCCTCCGACCCCGTGGCTCTCTACTTTTTCCAAGTGTCTGCGGCCTGAATTCCATTATCAGCAGAAGAGAGGGCAAACATTGCTCTGCCTTGAGAATGGGACTTGAGCATGGGAACGGTTCCCATGTTATGGAAGCCCTAAAAAAAGGAATCAGTTAATGCAGGGGTCTATATTTAGTCTTGAGCAGACCTAGCCGTGCACAGGATTAGTCTAAGTGCACCCCATCAGTCATGCCGTGGGACACTCTAAACCAGTGTTTTTCAAACCTGGCCACTTTAAGACATGTGGGCTTCAACTCCCAGAATTGCTGGCTGGGGAATTTTGGGAGTTGGAGTCCACACATCTTAAAGTGGCCAAGTTTGAAGAACACTGCTCTAAACCAAGCCAGTCAACCATTTTGCACACAGTTCTTGATCCTCCAAGAAAGCAAGCTGGAGCTTTCTAGCCTCACCTTCTCTTGGCCGGACAAGCTTAGCCCACACGGGGCAGTTTTAAACTCCGTGCATTTTAGCCGTGGAGCCCCCTCATGAGAACGGAGGATGGCTTTTATCTTTGCTTGATCTCTAAGGGAAGATAAAGGGTAGAATTAACGGCAGATCATGATGATTCCAGGCTCAGAGAGTCTACTTCTGAAGAGTTCTCATCTGGGAGGGTTTCTTGATCCTCATCTGTTACTGGATTCGTAATACTTTTGCACAATCACACCTAGTGTGCCAGGGACAACCCCTCCTGAACTGGAGATCCGGTGGCAGCTCTCTATACCCTGATGACATTCCGTCTTAACTCCCGCAACCCGCTCTTCAGCGTTGCCCTTGAATGCCCAGAAGCTGCAAGCAGAGGGAAATGCAGCAGTTCGGTACGGGGTGCAGGCGCGGCCGTGGGGAAAGATGGACCCTAGCTGACAATTACCTCTCGGGCACAATTTAGGATGATGTCAACCTTTAAGCCCTAACAGCTTAAGACTGTCCCTATCCTAGGGAGTCCCCCCCCCGCCTCCATAATGAACCTATCCAGTAAGTGATTTATTTCAGAGATCTTTTTAATGTTTGTAATGTTTGCAATGTTTGATATTTTGTTATTTAAGTTCTGTTAGCCGCCTTGAGTGTTTGCCACAATAAAAAATAAAAACCCTGCCGAAGCCAGCCAGCCATCTGGAACGATGTCCACAGCCATTCAGCCATTATCAAATGCTCCACGAGCCTGAAGCGACGTTCTGGAACCTCGAACGCAGCACGTGCCGCGGAGCCTGGCTTGCACAGGACAAATGAAGAGCCGCGCTCTTCCAAGGAGAAGTAGAGAGCAGCTATGATCAAGGGGGCGGGTGGAAATCTTGGTGAAAGCTGAGCAAGCTGTTGTTCCTTAGAGCTTGGGGAGAAAGCAGGACTGAGTTTCCTTAAGCCTCACAGAACACTTTACAGCAGCACTTTGTCCTGAAAATGCTCTCTCTGGAGGAGCGGGGCGGTGATGAGGTTTGAAAGACGACAGGCTCATTAATACAAAGCTACTTTAAAGTAGTTTAAAGTACAGCATGCGCAAAAAACTGTAATACCACAGCCGGGGCGGGGGAAGAGTGGAGGTGGCAAGAGCCACTGTGCCCAAGTGCACGGGGGGGGGGGAAAAACAGGGACACACACGTGGAGAGAATCAATTGGTGGACGGGCTCAAGCGGTCAACAATGCTCTGGCCATCGGCCCTCTAGATGCGTTGGCCCTAAAACCTGCCCCAGTTTGGGCTACGAATTCTAGGAGCGACTGGCCTCACACACCATCAGGCCGGGAAGACCACCTGGTGGAGCATTCCCACCTAAACCGCCACTCGCTCTCCGTCGTTAGGAAGGAGCGGGGTATAATGAAATACATTATTCATAAAATGGGTTGATGACATCAAACATGTAATACTGCTGACTGGTGCAGATGGAAATTAATCACTTGAAGGGTTTCTTCTGAATTCTCTTCAAAGTTCAGCACAGCGTTCCCCAAAGTATCCCAGCGCCCCAGTCCTTGTAAGAAACCCTTGCTCTCCTTCTTCTCTGAGCAGAATATCCGGCTCGAAGGCAAAGTTTTTCTCTCGAGCCTCCAACCAAACAATTTAAAAAAAACAAAACCTTGGCGCACGCGCAAAAGCCTGTCCGTCAAGTAACAGAACAAAGCAAGACAGGTTGCAGAAACAAGACAGCTGAAAAAGTCTCCAGCTATGCCAAGTTTGTGAACTCTGGTTAGGATAGACGATGATGTCAAGGAAAGTGCTGTGGGCTACGGGTCTTGGCAAGAACATTCGACCCTGCACCAAGGAGCGTTTGCAGCCGTCCAATAAACTTCTGGCTCCCATCTGGACATAGTGGACCAGCGTCAGGCGCAGTTTTATGCTGGAATTCTGCTGGCTGGGGTGATCTGGCATTTGGTGGAAGGGCTGCCATGTTGCCGGCATGACAAACGTGCCAAACCCAAAGGCAAAATGCCAGTGAAGATGGGCTAGTAAAGCTGCTGAGCAGGAGGAGGAAGCAGGATGCACCAGTTGGATCCCCTCTCCCAGCATAAGAACTGGACTGAACCAAGACTTAACTCCTTTGCCCTCATCGGTTGTCTGCGGTGGGAGCTCGTGGGGTGCAAGATGGAGGTCACAAGAACTTTATTCTGCAAACCGCACAGTGTTGGCACTAATCAGAATAAAAAATGGAGCCAATGAAAAGCTCAACATGTTGACTCTACAGTAAGAATTTATTTGAACACTTCCAACATCATTGTGGAAAGCAATCAAAATCACTACACAATTTTTATCAGCCTGCTTCTCTAATGAATGGAAGTGTGTACGACATGAAAATCTTCAAAGGAACGAAGTAAAAAAACATGAACTTAATACATAGAGGCGACTGGACCCTAAATGAAACTTGCAGAGGCACTTCCCATCTTTGTATCATGTCAAACTCTCTTCTTCAGTACCTTCTTTTTCTTCTTCCTCTGCTGCGCTCTTGATCATGAATTTCTGAAAAGACACATACGCTTCTGAAATCTTTATAACAAATGATGAGACAGGGAAGAGCTCATTCGTCCTACACTAACCAGTTGCTCTTTTTTCGAGAAACGGATGCACAGCTCTCTCATCTCATTTTCCTTCCATCACTTTATCTGCTGTTTTCCAAGTGTGGCGCCCAGGACTGTACACAAAACTTAAGGGCTCTACATTAGCAATAGTCTTATTTTCAGTCCCTTCTCTAAGGATTCCTAGCATGGAATCTGCTTTTTCACAACTACCACAGAGTCAATATGTTCACCATGACCCCAAGATCTTTTTCCTAATAGTTGCAGGCAGCTTAGACCCCATCAGTATATGCTGAGGACAGGCCTTTTTCTGTCCCAACGTGTATCAATTCCCACTTACTTAAATGGGAGATTTCTTTTTTTTTTTTAAACTGCCACCATTATTTGCCATCTGGCTGATGAGACAGGGAAGAGCTCATTCGTCCTACACTAACCTTTGGGACCTAAGGAGACGCAAAGACTGAACTCTTGGGCTGTTGGTATACCCGGAGTGGCTCTTTTCCTATAGGCATTTGATTACTAGACCACCCAACGTTATCAATGTAATGAAATATCTGCAGGAAAACCACCAGGCCAGGAGGGCCCCAATAACCCAACCGTTCCGATTCCCTCCCTGAGAAAGTCCATACCGGCCCAACAACTTCCGTGCAATCCACCCAGCTTCTCCATAATCTCATCCTCAAACATCCCTTTCATTCTTTGTGTCTAATGATCCAGCTGCTTCCCTATCTGATATTCTTTTTCTGCCTGGATGTATCTGAAACAGTTCCAACTGCTGCCATTGTCATCATCTTCAGCCCTCAAATCTTTTTTTACAGTCTGTATTGTCACCTTTCCTTTTCTGCTCCTCTTGCTAGTGCTTCCTGGGCACTACCACACACACAGCCCAGCTCCTTTCTGGGCCACACAAGCACCACCACGTCAGGCCTAATATGGAGGAGGAACCATTCATGTAAAGTTTTCAAGGACAATCAATGAAAAACATTTGGGAAACCGTTTTTTAAGCAGCCACTTGCAAGCTTCTTCATTAGTTGTGAAAAGACCTGCAGTTCACCCATTTAGAGAAGGCAATAAGAAAGAAAATGAGGAAAACTCTCATTGGTGGGAGATGGGAAATAGTCAAGTTACTACAATTCTTTGAACCTCATCCCCTTCTCCTTGATCATTCCTGCCAAAGTGGGAGAATCTTTTCTGTGAGGATCCTTGGAGAAGGATCCACTGGGTTTTGGCCAAGAGCCTAACAGCCTTCTTCTCCTAGACAACTACAGAAAACACAGTATTGATACTCGGTTGAAAAAGTGACATGCTACTCCTGAATTTCACACTCGTGCTCCTTGTCAAGAGGTTCTCAGGGAAGATGAAAAAACAGTACCTCCATGTTCTGCTGGTGAAGTTGAGACTGGCAATGGGTCTTCATAGATTCTTCATCCACACAGAAGCAGGAACAAATCTGACAGAAGTAGCCAGCTTTTGGGACAAGGAAATCTAAATCTTAAAGGAAGACAACACACATACCAGACAAAGAAATTATATATTAACAAGGACTATTTCAGTTCATATTTCATGCTACTACCTAAACAGGGCAAGAGGAAGAAATGCAAATCTAGTTCAATTTCCGAAGATTAAGATTCAAAAAGATTCAGGCAGTTGCACATAAGGCTCGCCAAAGTCCACCTTGGAAGAATGAAGCTTCCCCAAAACAACTTCAACGGAAAGAAACATTTCTGGCATTTAAGGGCAGAGGAATCCCTGAGGGCCAATGCCACGGAGCAGAGGGGGAAGGGAAGCTGGGAAGTGCCCTGCAGTGGAGGGCTCCACTGCAGGGCACTTCCCAGCTTC